CTCATCTGTAGATCTGTCTAACAAACTGAATGCTGCTTTTAAAAACGGTGTGGTACCCTTTATTTCTCTTGATTTTTCCTTAGGAACATAGGAGATGCAATAACAGACCAAATGAGGGGTCTAGCTCTTCAAGCCCAGGACCAGTGTCAGGTATGTGGAGGAAAATCCTGTAACTGACGGCAAGTGAATGACTACTTCTTATCTACAGGACTTCTTCTGCTCATATATGATAGCTGGTCTGTAGCAGACGATTTCAACATTTTGCCAACTCTTTAGCATTTAATAAGGCTTTACTGCTTTTGTGGACCATCTCAGGTAGCTGTGCATATTCCCACTTTTTATATAAAAGCATTTTCTTCTCTTTTTTTTCACAAACTCATTTATCACTCCTCTCAGTTTTACTAGTTCTCTTTTTTTCCCCTATCTACTCTTAGATTCGATTCTTTTGCTTCCATTTTCTGTTCTTCTTCCCTCTCAGATGTAGTCAAAATGCATGCTTATCGTCTCTGATTTCTCTAATTATCATGCTATAGTGTACTATCCTATAATGACCTGTACTCCTCTTCCATTCTGCCACATGCAGCAGTGATGTCCCTCTTCTCATCATTAAGCTCTCTTTCTATCCCCATGTTATGTATTTCTCTATATGATTTATCTTTAAACTCCTGATTGACATAGACAGGAAAAATGAAGAAATTCCCTTATTTGAATTAAAATGGTTTTCAAGGCAGGGCCTCAAGATTGTTCCAGTTAATGTAATTCAGTCTGTCTTTCCACACCCACTGGAACTGGAGTCTGAATTTACTATGAGGGTTTGAGATAGTTGAGAATGGGGCTAGCCTCCATTTTCACTCATTTAGGGACAGAGTTTGAAGATTTACTTTTCAGGAACTCAGCTGAAACCAGGTCTTTATAAATAGCAAGTACTGATAAATGCTTAGTTCCACTGCTGAGATCCAGAATCAGAGCATCTCTGGCAACTCAGCTCGTTCAGTCCTAGCAAGCTGGACACACAGGCAGTGGAAAAAAACATTGCAGGCCAGGAAGGGGACTGATGCATGGCTGCCAAGCTGGTCAGTATGACTTTCCCTACAAGATGGAAATTTCTCTGTTATTTCTTCATATTAAAAACATTTCATTTAGCTGCACATCTCAAAGATCCTATCGGAGTACTATCAGTGCAACACAAGTGATGATTCCATGACAAGCTGTTAGTTAACAAAAATGATTTGAATGTTATAAATAAGATTTTTTAAATCCTGATAGAATGATTCACAATTCACACACAAAATAAAATGCTTTTGTCTGTCTTCTTAAAGGGAGCAAAAAAAAAAAATCTGAGGTAGCAATTCTTGGAGAATATGATGCCTGATCTCATGACACTTTCTCATTTCATTTGTCTTTATGGCTTTGTAGAAGATGTCTACTATCTATCAGCTGGCTTAAATGACTTTGGTTTGCTTGCACACTACTTTCAAATTGTTTACAGTTAATAAAAAACTATGAAATACATCTACAGGCTTCATGATGTGAACCCCATGTATACAATGCTTCAGAGATCACAAAACATTTTGCTTAGCTTGAACACTTGCTGTTACTACATGTTAAATACTTAAATGACATTTAAAGCAACTGTGTATTTTCCAGCCATTTAAAGATAGACACATAAACAGATATACCACAAAATTCACCACTTTAACACAAATCATTTATCATTATGTATTTGCTTTACAGTTTGTTCTATGAAAACATATATCCTTGTAGTAGTATTATATAAGGTCAGTTTACTGCATTTTTATTAAATAATCTTTCTAGTTACATAGTATCATCAAGACCATTCTTGGCCTACATTTTATGTGACAGTGAGTTTTGGGAGCACGTGCCCCACTTCAATAAATTGTGTTTCTTTAACACTCAGGAATATTACACTGAAATACTAAAACTGTACATCAAATATGTCTTTGCTAAAGAAAAAAAGCCTAATTAGAAAGTTTAAGATAAGAGTTGTATTTATCACTACTCAAGAAAAATTGTTAATAAAATTAGGCTGAGTCCAAAGGAAAAGTAATTAATTAAAAATAGATACATTTGATTTTATGAATTTTATAAAATTAATTACTTTTGAAGTGCCTTTATGTTTCCTTTTAGGGCTGTTATGCTGCTAAAAAGTAACTCACACTTTAAGTGACACATGCATAAATTTGACGTTGAAAACATCATTAAAACTCTTCAAATAATTATTCCAAGTGAGAAATCTGACTAATGGCACAAGAGCTATAGAACTAATCCCTTTTCCTGGGGTAAATTCTGTTACACACTGTATATCAAAGGAAGTGTCAAGGGTCTGTTATTCCCCCTGGTATGTCATAATTTTACAACAATTGACTTTGTACAACTGCTGCAAAATCTCATCTATTTTCTAATGAAAAGCTGATCCTTGAAGAGCTGCAAGCAAAAATATTGTTGCAAACAGAAAGAATGAAGTATTTGCACATCCAAAGACCCATGCACTTAGCTGAAGGTTATTTTGATTTTGCAGAACCCTAGTTTATTCTCTTCTTAATGTACTTTCAGATGTTAAAGGCAACTTTCAGAAAGTATAGCTCCAACTTGGGAGTACTAAGGTGTTTTGGAAAATAAAAGCAAATCTAAGGGAAAAATAATTAACCTGTTCAGGTCATTAAAGAATGAAGTATATTTAAAAAAACTGTGTTCAAATTGTATTTAACTAGCATGTCCCTCAGAAAGTTTATCTACCTCAGAGCAACGAGCAAATGCACGTTTTCTACTCTGGCTGAATTTCCCTTTTCACAGAAGGCCATGACAATTTGGCATATTGAGACATTCATCAGCAAAGGTGGCAGAGAATCTACACCTCACAGTATAATTTAGGCTACAGTTATTTTGCAACTTCAGTACCAATTTATAGCAAAGCACAGAAACTCTTCCACTCAGTTCTCTTTCTGTGTGCATTGCTGGAGGTACACATATAGATACCTACAGTTAGGCAAGATGAATCATACACTTAAAATCTAGAAGTTTTGTCTGCCTCAGGTCCAAAGTAACTGATACGACAGCAATGGCCTGCTGCTAACCCCTTATACCATGCTTTCTTTCGTTTACAACATCTGCATAGTCACCTGTGTTTTACCCTAAGAAATCCACTAGATAAGGAAAATCTTTAGGCTGTGACTTGATAAGATTCGATAGCCTCTATGTGTCACCAGATGCATCACAGAAGGCCTGTAGCAGCATGTCTTTATGCACAGCATTAGGAGTAGGAAACAATGGCTTGGCTCAGATATGGCTATCTGTGTAAAAAAAGAGAACGTGTCTGATCCCCATCAGTTCTGTAAGATTCACTCAGAAAACTGAGTGTAAATGCAGTCAGAAAGAATGTACAGCTTACATAAATGCACACACACTGGTTGCTGCCTTGCAGAATATGCCAGTTTTGACTTGATGAGTTTCTCTAGAAAATGTGTAAGATATACTACAAACAGTGTATCTACAGTAAAATTGTCTTTTTAACTGTAACTAAAAATTCTATGTTTGGCTGCCCCCTGGAGTAGCCACTTCACTCCTTCAAGTGTTAAATAAGTGGCTGAATTAGGAATCTAACATACTTCCCTACACATTCATCAGACTGCTCTGATCAACCTCTTGAAGTGGGCAGTACATTGCCTGTATAGAGGACACAGGCTCTAAGTCTGATGCCTAAAGTAAATGTTACAGTATACATTAACACATACCTTTACAGACACACAGATTAAATTCTAAAGTCCTGCCAACAGAAGGGCTACATAGCTTGACTCATCTGTACTTTAGTACAGTGAAGGTAAAAGGTGAGAATCTGATTTGCCAAATGAGATGTGTCCTGGGACCTTCAAAATCTGAAAGTCTCTTTTGGCTGGCTCTGCACAGGTGACCTGATACTGCAGAAAGGCCGTCTCAGTGCATAAAATAATGAAAAACTGGAAAAATGTAAAGCTGTTCAGGAAGGACAAGAACAGAGGAGAGCCCATCTATAGTAAATACTCTTTCCTTCACATGTACAGTACAGTTTCCCTTACACTATGTTTCCATTTTCTCCTGAAGGTAGTGATACTGGCTAAATACTCGGCTCAGTGTTTATGAGTCATCACTTGGTGTATTTTCCTGGAGTAAATTAAACTTTTGTTTCAGGAAGGAAGGACCACAGTAAGTTCAGAGCCATCCCAGTATCATTTTGATTCTGCCTTAGGTTACATGGGATATGAGGAATCCTCACTGTTCCCACTGCTGTTCTGGGAACACCTGTCCAGCCCAAGTACATGGACTCCATTCCTCATTCCCAACACTATTTCAGCAGAGCTCTGACTCAGACTTTATGCCTCTTATCTTTGATATTGAAGGCTGGATTCCAAAATGAATGTTGATAAGTTAGTTAATTATGAAAAATCTGACCACACTTTCTTTCCAGGCTCAGAGAAAAGTGCAATATCTAAGGATGCAGAACACCATTCCATTCATGACTGGCATCAGTGGGAAAGAAGCTTTGCTCTCAAAACCTAGATTCTACTTTTATAGTTACAGGTGATTAAAAAAACATGTGAAATAAATAATTTACAATTCAAATAGTAATACATCTGCAATATATTAGAAATATAGTTTAAAAATTACTTCATATTCTTAATTAGTATAAAGTTTAATTTTATGCTTTGTATAGAAATGGTAGCTTTACTTGTTACTGCTGTCTCAGCAGAAGGAAACAGAAAACTTCCTAAGTAGCTAAATAGTACTGGGAAATTAAAAAATATTTAATTTTGCTTTTTTGGGGTAATAGAAAAATAGCTTTTAAAAATACATTGTTAAACATATGGTCTTGTACTAAAGTAGAATTGTATATTATATACAGCAAGGCGGTATATCAAATATTGACCTGATATTTTCTTCGTGTTTGGTTTGATTGGACTAGGGTATGAATGGGATGCAAAGTTTTCTGTCACATTGAGAATTTGTTATTTTACTGTAACTGGTTGAATATATTTTTTTCTATATATGATTTGTCATATATAAGAGCTCCTTTTTTCTTAAGGATTGAGAAAAAATATAAAGAAAACTTATCTAGTATCAGAATGCATTCAGAAGAAAATACACTGTAGATAAGAATGCTGTTGTGCAATGATTTATCTGATTAAGGAACTGCTCAGATCACTTTGGCATACTGACTGACCTGTAACAACTTTCATCTTGTTGAATCTGCAGTATTGCCTCAGGTTTTCTCAACTAATAGAAGATCTGCAGAGCTGAATAATTAGTTTACAATGTATTTTTCATGGCAGATAATATCCATTTCCTCATTTTGCTGTGTCAGAAACATGTGTTAATGATCCAAGTTTTATTTCCATGATTATTATCTCAACCCACAAGTTCTTTTATTTTCTGTATAATACACATAGGAGGCTAGGAACTTTTTTAAGGAACTATTTGCTATGTGGTTTTGTTTTACTGTAAATAACTAAGTATGCACTGGGCTAACTACTAGTTATTTAAAGGGCATAAAGGAAGATGGGTCCATGTACTCTGATCCACTGGGCTCTCTTTTGCACTCGCTTGGAACTGTCAGACAGTAGCTCGTATTTTTCTCAGCTTGACCTTGCTGCAGGTTCTGAGACATTTCCATTGAAGGTTCTTGAATCACAGATGTGTGATGGATGCGTGAATCTGGCATTAATACTAGAATATTATGGTCCACAACGGTTGAGACTTTAGTATATTCCTTGCTTGTTCCTGGAACAGTGTATTTTTCAGTCTTTCCGCTATTTTCTTTATGTTTCAGTAACACTGCTGGCTCCTTATCCTGTCTGACTTTGTGAACTTCTACATAATCCATCAGTTTAGGACTCAAAAAAGGTGACTTGTCATTAGGTCTGGTTTTTATGACCTGCACTGTGGTTTGGTCAGGTTTGGAATGCAAATTCTCCATCTCTCTCTGCTTTTCCATGTCGTCATGGACAGTTTCAGTCATAGGATATTGTGACTGATGCTCTTCATTTCCCACCAGAAATGATGCGATGTTCACATTTGTGGTACTCAGTGTTATCTTATGTGCATCTACAATACTGTGGTAGGCAAACATAGGAGGATGATTATCAGGTAACTGAGTTGCAGGCCATGTGGTCTCTTTTGTACTCTCATTGTTAAAGAGGATTATTTTCTGTTCTGAGGCTATACACTGAGTTTCCCAGCTCCTCTTTCCTTCTTTATTTTCTTGAACATCTCTTACATCTTGTGTTTGAAGTCTTGATGGAAAGGCACGGGACTCCCTGCACTTCTCAGAAAGCACAGAAGGGCTATCACAGCTGCCTCGGCCTGAGTCACTGTCTTTTTCCTTTGGTATAATTTTTGCATTTTTACTGGGATGACCATTGTCATGGCTTGGCATGAGTTGCTGATCCTCACTGTCCTCTATCTCCAGATATTCTATCAGTAGTTCCTCACAGTCTGATGTTGGAGGGAAACCATGGCAACCAAGAGCACTCAATAGTTCTTCAGATCTTCCTGTCTAAGGACATAATAAGATATATTGTTTGACTGTTAACCTTAGGGTTTATCTGACTTGAACAATTGTGAACAATCTACATATTCACTATACAAATACTTTTAATAGTTGTATCACTAGACCTAAACTGGATTTCTACTGCTGCAGAAAATAGTGGAAGAACAGAAGAAAATTTCTTGAGTTCCCTCAGTGGGGAGACACAATCCCAGAATTCATGTTTCTAAAATGGGAAGACTAGGGAGCTTTTGGCAGGTATGTGTTTCAATGGTTTAGGAAGAAGGAAGTGGAAGAGAATGATAGAGTGGCCATGTCCTGTCTCCTCAGCATGGCAAGAGACTGTTAGGAGCAACTTCTAGGGAAGTTCCTAGAACTACTAGAAGATCACACAGGCATTGGGTCTTGTGGTGTCCCAGGGAACTGTGTGGTCATGAACCCTGTTCTCAAATGCCCTGCTATTACTAGTACAAGGCAAGACTCTCACACATACCCTCCACATGATCAACCTGAAAGCATCACTTATTTTTAACACTGATTAAATTAATTGAAGCTGGTTTATACTTTGTTATGGTAACTGTGTTTGCTAATATGTAGTTTGGAAAAGTAAGTAATGGTGAATCCTTTTGTTGGTATCAGTGGTACTCACCTCTAACAGATGTGTATCTATGCCTTTTATTTTTGGTCCTGGAACTGGTGGTAGGATAAATGCTATCATTCTAAAAAACCAGAACAAACACACAGGGTGTAAGTATGGGCCCTATCTCTCTATTCTCCCATTTCCTTGGAATGTGACTGACATTTTAAACACTTCTCCCATATCTGATATCTCCCTGTTGGATTTCTGTTTCAATTCTACCTCTCAAGCCAGGTAACTTACAAATCCAGTGACAGTTCATAAATTACTCTTAGATGTATTTATAAGAATGAGAGCAGTACAAGTGTTATTCAACTGGAAGTGTAACAGGGCTAATGACCCTTTATTGCTCTTTAACCTCCAGTCTGCTAATAATCTCTGTAACTTCATCACTGGCCAAGGAACAGCTATGTGGGGCTATGTTCAGGAGGATTAGTGGGCCTGTATGTACATACTTGACTATCATCTAACTACTACTAAACAAGATTTACGATGAATGACTTCTGATGGCTTTTCCATCAACAGTTTCTATCTCTTTCTTTCACTCAGCTAGGATTTTTTGCAAGACTTGTACAAAAGTGATAATCTTCGTGACACCTTCTTCTTTCAGATCTGATTGAAATTAGCAAGCGTTCTAATAAATTCTTTGGGGAATTGACAGACAGGTGGGCAGAACGACAACCTAATAATATAAACTTGTTTCCTTTAGGAAATCAAGTCAAAACTAAAGGGTGTGTCTTCTACAGAAGCAAGGATACTCCAAATGATGTTTGCTGAATAGTTACATGGCTAACCAAGATGGTCAGATGTAACAGAGACATGTCTTTACCAATTGAGAATTTAGCCTGGTTTCCATAAAGAACAGAAATACCTCTTTATCAGTTGCAAATTTAAAGTCAGACACCTGTAAGTTAGAGTTTATAAGGGGACACAAAATCTATAGGAAATTGAATAAAGTGTTAGAAGTCTATTTTTGAAAAGTTTGCTGAGATTTTCAACTCTGTGAAATTGTGAAACTGATGACTTACCTGTACCCTTTCAAAACCACTGTCCAGCTCATGATTAAACATATAAGAGATGACAAAACACCAACGATGATCCACACAACCATATCTTTTACTCTAAAGTCTAAGAAACAAACAGATTTATTTAAGGATGCACTTCTAGCATATGGATAGTCATCATGCAAAAAAATTACTTTAAAAAAAATTACTTTTATTTTAAAAATTGGTCTAAACCACCAAATTTGGTATTGAATCTAGAGGCCTTTATTAGCATAGATGGATCTCACTAATCATTGTAGTATTTGGTAATAAATATACTTTTCATTAATGTCACTGTGCAGGAAATAAACTCTCAGAAAAATGCTACAAATGTATACATACATACAAATGTATGAAAATGAAACCTTTGTCAAAGCCAGTTGTAGCAATTGTATTCAAATCCAATTATGCCAATATTGTAATCATTTAATTATCAAATACATATTATACGATTAATTAAATGGTGAGTTAAATGATGTAGACTAGATATTTTTAAGGATTTCTATTGTAACATGACACTTTTTACATTGAGGTGTTCATTCCAGATAAAGGGTAATGAAGAGCTCTTACGGCCTGAAGGCAGTCACTCTTTACTGTCTATGTAGCAGTTTTAACACAGTTACTGATATTCTTCTAATTAAAAGCTACCATCATGCGAACAAATGAGTCTATAAACAGAAAGGACATGGTTTAAATAAATTATGAAATGGATTCACCTTCTTAAATCCAAAAAGTAATGAAGGGGGAAGCTAACTTGGTGTGGTGCAGGGATGCTAAGAATTCAGTTACATTAGCAATGATGTTCTCACTTGTCCTAGGGAAACTATGGGATGTTAATCCGCATGGGTGCCCATGCCACGAACACCTAACAGAAGTATTACACGAACTTTACGGAAGCGACACCTGACCACTCACCAGTAGGGATGTGAATATATTTTTCTGAGCTCCATTCACTCCATGATCCATGGTGGTCTGGTTTGCAGTGGATCTGTACAATGTACTTCTTTCCAGGATTTAAACTAAACATTTTATATTGTGTTTGCTGTCCAACAAAAACAGTCTGGAAATTAAATAAAAATCATAAAATGCATATAAAATTGAGACATATTTCTATGAAAATCACAGTTAGGTTTAAGTCTTGATAACCAAGTTGGGAATATAGAACTAATCTGGACAGCTTCCTAATAATTTTTATGCAGGCATGAAATAAGGGTACATTTATTTTATTTCTATAGTTCATCTTTCTAACGTAATTCAGTGGGAATGAAGTCTGGCTCTGGTAGACTGTGCAAATTAAACTACTACAAAAACACGTCATTAGCATATGGCAAATAGGGAGAAACTTTGGTAATGGTGGAAACTGCAATGGTGAAACGAGGAGAGGGAGGCAAGAAACAGAGATGGGGAAAGAAAATGTGGAGAGAAAAGGAATGTGGAGTTGATTGAACTGCACAGGGTAGTAAAAAGCAAATCTTGCTATGGCCAAGGGGAGTGGGAAGTGCAGAGGAAGGGAGGGAAGGGAGGAAGGAAGGGAGACATACAGAGATGGCTGGGAAGTACTGCAGAAAAGAAAGGGATGCAGCCAAAATACTCCAAAGCTGGAGTCTTTAATTTGCTGCCCATTTGTTTGAGTTGCAGATCCTGGCTATAGACATGTATTATTATGTTGCCATGACAACTGTCACCTAATGGCTGTTGGCACAAATTTAAATGATTTTACATAATGCCACTGAGCTTTCTGTTACCTAAGTGCTTGTGGTTAAGAACAAATTATCACAAAAGAAACCTGAGTAAATGAGAAGAAATAATTTAAACTGTAATGCCAATATGAATAAAATATAATGGTCACAATTAAAAATAAGTACTTTATCACCTGCTATCGTGTGACAGCATCCAAAATACCAGGATTTTCAGTAGGAAATCACAGACCACACAAGCACTTTAGAAAAATGATGAACTACTCAATGTGCCTGCTTCATTATAATCAGGCATGGGACCTGGCTGACAAAATCTAATTATCAGAAAACATCATCCAGGAAAAACTTCTAACATCCTTACCTCCCATTCCTCTCCTTCTTCAGGCTTTAGTCGCAACTCATATTCAAGAGTAAGCCATCCAGATCTGACATCAGCCAGTGGGGGTGGAGACCATGACAAGACCAGATATGGTTTTGTATTTATTGGCTTTTTTAATTCCAGAGTCACATTCACAGGAGGATCTGGCTGTACTGTTAAAATGAAAGAACTGACAGTAAGAGTCTAAATGATTTTTTTCTTGCATCTTGGGAAGAAATATAAAATGGTGTGAGTGGTGGGTTGCCACCTCCATTGTGTCTAGTAATTTAGAACTGATGCTGGAATACAGGGATCAAGAGTTTCCTGATAAAGTAAGCATGGGTTTATGAATTTGAAGAAAAAAAATTAAGAACAGTAAATATGTTGAGTTCATGTTGAGATTTGCCTTAACTATTTATCACCAGAAGTAATTTTTTCTTACATTACCATTTATTGTTGCTTTTCCCCACAACTAGTTTCAAAGTTAACTTCTTTAATGCTGTGTTATGGAAGTTGTGTTTTACCATAATCTCATCAAAGTCGGCATATATATTTAGGAATGCTGAAAACACAAGATGTAGCTGATGAAACTTGTTTTGTCCTCCTCCCACCTTTTACATTAAGAAAATATAACACCTACATGCATACATAAGGATATTTAAAATAAAACAAACCAGTAATATTAAAGTCCTGTCTGTATCTCAAAAATAAACCAAAATGGAATGCAGGTTTCTGCTACGGTCAGGTTTGCCGCTTCCTCAGTTCAGAGGCAGAGCTTCTGCATATGGTACATGTATTTTACTGCTGTCTGAAGCAAAGCTTCATCAAGTAAGTAGTCAGGGCATGGATTTAAAAAATAAAATCTTTTCTCCGGCAGCCCCTTTCCAGTTGCTAGACTCCTGGCAGCCAGATCATTGATAAAAAAAATGGTTATCAATTATAATGTTCTGTTTCCTTAGAAAAAAACCTTAAATACTTGTCCACAGTGACTCTGTGGAAAAAGTCTGAGAAAAGAGATTATCAGTACACTGCTATAAAAAGCACTAATTCAGCTTCTCCTGGGTCTGGAAACTACTTCTAGGCAATCAAATATAAGTATTATTATTTAAAAAATCAATTTTCTTTCAGTTGCTAGTAGAGTGAAAAAAGATTTTAGCCACCTAATCATGTTCCTTAGGGCTTGACTGAAAGAAACATGGAAAACCACTAAATGGTTATCTGAATGCAATTTTAAAGCTTTTAGCATTTTTATGCTTCATTTGAAAATAAAATGGTAAGAGAGATGAACACCGACTTATTATTACACCAGATAAGATCTTGTTTGTTCTTACAGGGTTTTAACTTTGATATAATACTATACATGAGAAGAGCTGGAATTAGAGTTCTTGTGTCAAAACCTATAATTTTGAATTATTTGGTTCCATGGAAAATAATTTTGATCTCTTACCGATGTAAGTCACATCCACATAATGAGGATCAGAGACGTTACTTCCCATTTTGTTAGTTGCCCTCACAGTAATATTGTATATCGTCCAGAAGGAGGTGTGTTTTTTATTGAAGTAGCATGAATTGGGGCCTGCAGTTTTGTAATCTGGACATTCATAAACTTGTTGTTCTCTGAAATGAAAGAATCACAGTGATGAGGTTACACAGACTAAACCACCTGACATCGATTACTAGGAGTCCAACATTATTCAGGGACGGATGAGATTTTTTACGCCTGGCAATGTGAAGAAAATCAGAAAACTGCTTTCAGACTAAAGAGTCACTGGATAATTCCAGAGTCTGTAGCTAGCATGCATTTTCCTCCCAAAATAAAGACTACAAATCCTGAACAATTTAGGCTGTTGTAGATACAGCAGTAGCCTAGTAGAGTGCAGCTCCTACTTTTCAGAATGCCATTGTCTGCTGCATAGCCCTTACAGGTTCCAGAGAGCCAGTAAAAGTGATTGCTGGAGTCTTCTAACCCATCTATTAAAAAATGAGTATTTCCAGTATTCATTTCACACTTACATGAGTTCTGCATTTCCAGGATTTATTTTGGTCTTTCATCACCTGTTTCTGTAAACCTCTACTTTGTACCTGTGCTCCAAATCCATTCCCAAGCTTCCCAAAGGGAGCAGGGATAGGAGAGAAAGTTTGAGTATGTAGTACTTGTTTCCAGACTCCTCTGTGATGCACAATAAAGAGAAAGTTGTGGATATGGACCTCACACTCTGCCCTGGCTGGCTGGACCAGTACCTGTCTTATTACACTAAGACCTGGCCCTCAGCTAAGTACAGAGTTTAGCATCCGGTTAGGTCAGTCCAGGGCTGAGCAGTGCTGGGTGAATGGAAAATAGCTCACAGGACCCAAACAAACTATTGACTACTCCTCTAAAATTAATGTTTAGTACTTGATCTAAGTTCCAGGACCAAGCTTACTGCAGAAGCCAGAAGGCATTCATGGCCTGTGTGCAAAATAAGCATTATCACAAGGTGAAAATTTTAATATCTGGTCATTATGGAAAGCTTTATTTCTGGGGCTGCATGACTGAAGAGCTACAGGACATTTGTATTGCATACTATTGTGCAGCTGCTGTGCCATGGCAACTTTCAAGGCAGTCTATCTTTCATGGCAGAAGAATTCACAGAAAAACCTCACAAAAGAACCTATTTCAATCTTAAATATGTTGCTGCTAGCGCTATTCCAGAATATGTCAGTTGGACAAAACCACATGCTATGAAAAACGGCATTGCCAAAATGCAAAACCAAACAATATTGATTTTCCAGGTCCTTCCAATAAAACTGAACAATTATACACAGCTTATTACCCTTCTTTGCTGTAAAGCAAAGTGTAGTTGGTAGGATGTCCTCCATCTGAACCAGGTTTCCACCAACAAGTAAATGTTTCCTTTTCTGGAGAACGGCATTTTATTATTGTAGGCTTTTCAGGAGGTGACTCTCCTGTAAGAGATAAAGAAATTAACTAACTGGTAAGTTTTATGCATTAGGTCAACCCTGAATTCATAAAGCGATGCCAAGCAGAGCACAGGAGAATACTTGTTTTTTCTACAAGAAAAAAGTTTTACTTCGTATTAGCATAGGAAGGGAAGTATAGTTCACTAGTTAGGGCAGCAGCCTGTTACTTTGGTCTGGGTTCAAAACCCTCTCCCACCGCAGCTGTGCTGATGAGCTGTGTTTTAGTTCCCTGGCTGTAGCTCCTCTCTACCCCCAGATCTGATAAGGGGTGCTCGAATACTATCATAGCCAGTTCTATAAAATGAATTAAAATACACTCTGCTACCCAATATATTTTCTACATAAACCATTTTTTCTTTAAAAAAGTGCTTTAAGATGCTTCTGATTATTTAAAAAAATATGCTGTCATTTGTTGGATTTTACAGCAAAAAAATGAAAAAAGTAAGTATTTGCCCATTTGTCTATGTCCTTGACAGTAATTCTTTCCTGAAGAAAGAAGTGATGTTATGCTCAATACTCAGGCTACTTGCCTGATTGCTGCCAAGCAATTTATAATTATTTGGATTCCTGATGATGTTTTTATAGACTGAAGCAAAGCACTTAGGGCAGAGGAAAATGCTTAAATTTTGAATAGGATGATGCTAGTCAAACCCATGATGTGACTGAAACTTTTGAAGTTATATATTTGTGGCAAAATAATGGTCTTATTACATCAATAATACGTATTTTCTACTATTTAGAGTAGGGACATTGATTTTTAAAATTACTAATTGCCTAAGGCAGATCTGAAAATGGAACATTTAAAAAATATTTTTCTATTAACAGTACTTCAGCAATCTCCATGTCAAATAATGAATGTTAGTGACAAAAGAAGATTTGAGTCAACCTAGCTAAAGTGTTTGACAACAGGACATGATGTCATGCATATTTAATATGTCCACTCAAACCCAACAAAACACAGATAATTACTTCCATGTGATAGTAGCTGCAGGTGTTATGCTCTGTTAAGACATGGCAGTGCTTTCAGTCCAGTAACTAATGAACAAATAAATGATTCTTACACAAGTGGTGTTACCTGTTCTCTATAGCTATAGATTAAATCAGCATGATTTTTAAATAGAAGGATAGGAACAATCAATTATTGAGGCATACCTGTATGAGAAGTGACTTCCTAGTATATCCCAACCTGTTTGTTACAGCTAGCTGAGTGGATCAATAAGACTAAATATGCAATTACACACAAAGAATGGTAAGATCACCAAGCTGTTCCTCCAGCACTATGAAGTATCTGCGTGAGGAACTGTGTTTTCAGAGCTGCCATTTATGCACTTTTCACAACACTGAACTGGCTAGAATTTAAAAACAACTGCAATCATTCACTTACCACTGGGGATCTGAATGCGTTTTTCGGAGCTCCACTCACTCCATTCTCCATGGTCTAACATACAACGGACTTGAACAACATACTTCACCCCAGCTTGTATCATAGTCACTTTGCACTGTGTCTGCACTCCAACAGATATTGTCTGGAAAACAAAATGGACTGGAAATATAATAAAGAATTGGGCCATTTTAACAAATAAACCATAAAGGAGTAGGCTTGTGTCACTGACTTCTGAAAGGCAATGGTTTCAGTCAGAAAAATAAGATGTGAATTAGAAAGAAGCAAAGGCAGTGACTTAACAAAAAAACCTCACTTCAGTAACACTGAGATTCCGACACTTGAGAACATATTTAATTTAGACTTCCTAAAGTTAGTATTCCATCAGATCAACCATTCAAGGAACACTACAGACAATCCAACTCACGGATAAACCCTCTGCATAAATGCTTCTTAGTGGCTACTTTTATTGCTTAAAAGTAAGTGTCTTCCTCAGGCCCTTTGAATCTCTCTTCAGAAGTCTTTCAAGACACATAGTCTTCTCCATCAATAAGGCATCAACAATTTAGGCAGCACTAAGGCCATCTGACTATGACTTTAAGAATGATACTTTATCCTGGTATCTCAGTCTGGGAGTACTGTGTCCCACTATTAGCAAAATGGCAACAGCTGGGAATGCCAATGGATATAGTGTATGTGAGTAGGACACCCCAAACTTTCTGAGAGGGGGGTTGCCAACTGATCAGGTTGAAGAGGATGATGATGACTCTCAGCCCAATTAAACAGTAATTAGGGAATGAGAGACTTCTGAAACAAAGAGTATTAAAGAAGCATGACAGTTTGTAATAGTGTGGGGGGCAGACTGGAAACTTCAGCGGTAGCTGAAGTTTAGTTTGAAGCTATCAGAAGCTGCTCTGCTAGCACCATGGCCTCCACCTGGGCCAGACAGAGCAGCCTTCCTCTCTCATGCTATGAGCAGCTGCACTCCAGACAGTGTGGGCTGCAGCACACAGGAACCCATGCCTCTGTGTATGCATGTGACCATGTGGGTACCTTCTCACTGATGTGTGTCTTAGCAGACTGTAAGAAGGGACATGCATTCACATTAAGGTAAAGCATCCATGGTCCCCTGCAGAGGTGGGTGTAAATAGGGGAGTCTGTATTCCCAAGAAGGTGAGGTGTGCTTGTAACCCACCCTTCCTGAGAGAGGGGAATTTCTGTATATAGCATATTTCTGGGACTAGTTAGAGAAGTGTATTTATAAATATGTATGTGTCTGTTAAGATTTTTAAGTGCCCAGTATTGTGATTTATTTGTGTATTGCTGATACTGACCTTGACTGCATAGTTAACTGATTGCTTGTTAATTACATCTTAATGAATCAATAAACTGCTTTGATCCTGATTTGGTTTAAACTACATGAGTCTTTTACTGTGACACTTGGGAACAGACACATTTATAAAAATTACAATTAAATATTATATAAGTGGGCTAATTTTTTTTTTTTTTTTAGTATATGGCATTAGGACAATTATACAAATACCTTGAATTTCAGTGTCTCTACAAACACTACTATTTTTCTTTCTTTAATCAGATTTGGTTACAGTCCTCAGAGAAACTTTTTGTAATACCAGTTCAGACAAGAGGATTCGCTGAATAGAACATTTATACAATAAATATATTTTTTTCCATTACCTCCCACTCTTCCTTTTCCTCAGGTTTCAGTTGTAGCTCATAGTGATATACATGTGAATTAGAGCTGACATCAGCTAACGGAGGTGGAGACCATTTTGCCCAAAGATACATTATGCTAGCAGATGTTTTTGTTTCTAGAGAGAGGTTCACAGGAGCATCTGGCTGAACTGCATAAATGAAAAGTTTGCCATTAATGATTTAATTTTCTCTCAGAAAAGGCACTTCCTTTCTGGTTTTGTATTTCATCACATTAATTTTATATCATTCAGTACTTCTGTGAGGGAATAGTACAATAGCCTTTTTTTACTTTCTCCCTCATAATCTTTAACTGGCTACTGATTTACCACAGTATCAGCAAATCTTAGACTTTACTCTGAATTTGTCAGGCTAAGGAAATACAAATCATGATTTCATTAGGCCAGTCTTGCAGCATTAAAATGTCAGACATTTAATAGCTAAAAAGGCTAAGTACATTTATCATTACAATGTGTAGATTATGTGTATGCAGAAAACAGAACAGAGTTAGGAATATGAAATACTACAAAAAGTCCAGAGTGCTTAGGCAGTTATTTTTACCCTTCTGAGACTACAATGCTGGCAGACAGAAAAAGTTGGAAAATGTAGGAAAAAAGTTGGAAAATTTGGAAAATGTATGTAGTTTAACCTAATTTGAAAGTTTTATAATCTGCAGTGCTAGCAACCTGCAAAACCATCATCGAGTCCAGTTGAAATACTGGAGATAGATAAAAACTGGAGTCAATTTTTGAGTCAACGTTAAAATGACAATAAAATATGTAGTTATTTAATTTATAAGTAAAATGCAGTTTTCACATAAAGATGTGTATTTTAGATCATCTGTAGGTAAACACTCCTCCATAGCAAGTTTCACACCATGAGGAAAGAAATCTTTCACCACTACTTGTTCTGGGATTAAAACCCACATATACGTCCAACTAGTATGTTTTCCATTTCATTCTTCCCTTTTTACCTATGGAGGTCACATCCACATACTGAGGATCTGAGCTGTTACTTCCAATCTCATTCGTTGCCATTACAGTGATATTGTATGTTATCCAGGGATTAGTGTGGTTTTTATCAAAGTAGCAGGAATTGGGACCCGACGTTCTGTAGTCTGGGCATTCATAGAAATTTTCTTCACTGAAATAAAATGATTTTAAAAGTTAAAAGTTTAGGAAATAAAGCAAAGCAGATAATACTCTAGTAGTGGTCTAGGTTCAGCAAAGAAATTTGAAAAGTTTAACTTTAAATCTATATATAATCCTACCCCTGGGAAACATCTTGGTGAGTGTCAAATGCTATTACCAAAAATGCTTCATTACTATTTTTACTGCAGTTGTTGAAGATGAATGCTTTTAACCCCATTTTTATACATAGGAATATGCCAACAAAAGAATGGAAAGAGAAATTTCCAGAGACAGCACAAGGAAGTATTAAAAACTGTTTAAAAGCAAGTTAAAAGGCAAATTAAGCACCTTCACTTTCACTAAAGAATAAAAGTAGCTAAATATCTTCTTTACCTATTTCCCCTGGAAAGTAACCTGATAGGCCCTATGGCAGAGGACTCTTACTGATTATTTTAATTTTAGCAAGATGTTAATTTGTCTGCTCATCACAACTGTCTCAACAAAATGCATGATGTCTTACCTATTACCTTTATATGAGTCTTTGGCTTTTTTAGGAGAGGGATTGTTTTGTACTCAGTAAGCTGAACTGGGTAATATACCCAGGGCCTATCTCAGGTGTGAAGAACAGCACAAACCTAAAGCACCAGCTGAAATGGTTCAAGGACGCACTTCAGTCCCACTGTTATGCTTTATGAACTGCTAATAACAAAGTCTCTTGGTTTGCAGGCAGTTTTGTCTCAGTTCACAAAGAAAAGTTGGGAGTAGGGAGTACCTGAGAGACAGACAATGAGCTAAGAAAGGCAACTGTGGCCCAGATCTGGAGCGCTCAGCAGTGCAGCAGATCTAGTGAAATGCATAAGCACTCCTATCCATCCATAAGCAGGACAGTTCTGGGCTGTGATAGGTATGACTTAAAATGTTCATTAAAATTTGTTTTGATCAAGATTGCAACATCTGGATTTTCACAAAATAAAAGCTCTCAGATCCCTGTTGAGTGTGGTAACTTCATTAAAGGCTGCATCTTTCCTGATAGCAATGATTTGGACTTTATTAACTGAAGCAGGGAAGTCTGAGTCTCTAGCTTTACCTGTTCTGAACCTCACTGGATTTATTCAAAGAAATTTAATCTTTGAGCCTCCCTGGTTACTTGGCCCTGTTCTGAGACCTCTTGCTTTCCGGAAGAAAAGGCATAGTTATACAAAGAAGCACAGGTTAAGCTAAACATACACATTTTATTCTTAAACAGGATGAGGGAGTCACAGGCTTTACCAAACAGTAACTTTGAGATGCAATACCCACATCTGATTGCACTCCATTTTGGGAACCACAAGGATGGCTACAAATCCAGAAAGGGAAGCAAAGACTCTTTACAGTTTTTTTTTTCAGATGGGGGTTTGCTGTGCAGTGGAAGGGACAGGCTCCTCATCAGGGTGCCCAGGGCACCGCCTGCCCTCACTGTCCCTGCCCAGCCTCCTCGGGACCTCCCCACGCACTGCCTGGGCCCCAAGTCCCCATTTCAGCCCCCACAGCCTCCAGCACCCCACAGCCCTGCCCTTCCCAGTCACCGCCTGTCCAGAGCCAGCCCGAACCTGCAGGCTGATGTCCTGGCCCGCCTGGGCTCAGCCTGTCCCCGTCCCCAAGGAGGTGGTCGGTCCCAGTCCGGGTTGCCCCCAGCCTGCCCTGCTCCCTGGGTGGGACAGGCCCTGGATGGAGGCCTTGCCCTGCTGCCCCCGGGGAGCCCCCATGGCCCCCTGATGCTCACTCCTCAGAGAAGCACGCCATTCAACTAAAAGCTGCGTGCCTCCTGACAAGATGGACACACTACACCTTTCCCAGCAGTGGGTTTTTAGGTCGGATGTGTTTCAGCAGGGACAGGCGGAACGTTTGGGCTTGGTAGTTGTCATGTTTTCTTCCAACAGGGTAAAACCATTCATCCATCTCATGTAGCCCTTGTTGGCTATCTGAGGTTTAATATGGATTCATAAAAACACCTTTATAAAACAATGCTATAATTCCCTCATTCTGTCATAATCATCACTTGATCACTAACAGAATACATATGCACCACTTGTTACCTGTCCTTGCTGTAGAACAGAGTGTAATTGGTAGGAAGTCCTCCATCTGAGCCAGGCTTCCACCAACAAGAAAAGGTTTCCTTTTCTAGAGAACGACATCTTATTATCGTAGGTTTTCCAGGGTATGATTGACCTAGGAAAGTGCAGAAATCCATCTAGTTATATTAGCGCTGGACAACAATTTTTGTTGTTATTGTTGAACGATAAATTCATCAAGGAATGCTTTTTTGAGGACACTAAAATTGTTTGAAAATATGGATTGAATTTGGCAAATAAATATGCTGGGAAAGGGCCAAAACTTTCAGAAAAGTAAACACATTTTACCTCAAACTTCTAAAATAGCTACTAAAAATTAATTTACTCCTTTTTCAAATGAAAATCTCTTCTTTACCTAAACTTAAATAGTGTAGAGTTATCTCCAGATTAAATTAAAAATCTTGGAAGTAAATGTATGACTTTCTATTTTCCTAAAATATCCAAGATTTTTATTTTCAGGTCATCTTAAAATTAAATTTCACCTTCAACTCTGCAACATAATCAAAATTTCACTGTGCATATATTTGGGGTAAATTATAGGTAAGACAAGTGATAAAAAGAAGGAATCAATGGGCTAGATATTTTGCGTATTGGCAACCTAAATGTCACCAGTTGAGTATTCCCTAATAATCCCAATACTTTTAAGAATATTTCCTGTTAAGGCTACTTGTCATTAACTTCTATGAAGAGCACAGACCATAAATTTACATGCATTTTGACATGAAAAGCATGTGGCTTTTTAACCTAAGCTTATCTGTATTTTATTAAAGTTCCATACGACTATCTCTAATAGTGTTACTACTCATATGATGCTAATTCTGAAGGTGACAAGCATGCAGTGAGTGTAGGGATGCAGTGAGTGCCTTTCACCATCGCCACCACTTAATCATTAATATTAAGAAAAGGGGACTCAAGCCATTTTCAAAATCTCTAAAAAAATCTCCAGTGGTGGTCAGGATTGATCAGGTGAAGCCTCAGACCTTTCTAAAGGAAAAACAAGTGTTTCAGGAAGTGGTGTTCTTACCAGTTGAACCCACTGCAGTCAGAGCAAGTAGCAAAATAATTTGAACTGATGATGTCAATTTCTGCTTCATGATGTCCGCTTCTCAGGAGGGAATATCAGATCAAGGAGTCACTGAAAAATATGCCATCATACAATAGTCAATAATAATGCTTGACAAGTAATATCAATCACATGGCTTAATCAAAGTCCTTTTTGAATTGTGGCAAATTGATTCCTGTTATTTCTAAAAAAAGTGTGGCAACACCTATAGTTCTACTTCAGAAGCAGAAAACCTGAATCATAGAGTAGTAAGTAGGTCTTCCTGAAAGTCTTTGAATGGTTAGCAGTGCTAGGATTGCAATTCCGTATCATTAACAAGTCTTGCATGTTTATTTGGTATCTTGGAATACTGTGTGCTTTTCTTAAAGCTCTAACTTTATTCTCCTCATTAATTTACCTGAGAAACCAGCCTTTTAGTAACAAGAAATACACTTTTCTTGATGATGATACAAAGAAGAGCTCAACATATTTGAACTCTGAAAGTCCTGAAAACAGAAGGTAAAGAGAAAATATCCAAAATTTACTTAGAAGTGTATGATTTTTGAGCCAATAGCATGACTTCTGAATATATGTTACTGGCAATGTTGAATTTATGATCACCTGAGCTGAAGAATGCTACTCTTTATGTACATTCTACTCATTGTTTTTACTGCATTTGATTTTGCAGTAAAGTGCCAAGATGAGAGAAAAGAAACCAAGAAAAAAGTAGTGTAACTTCACAGCTAATTAATCAGGTGGAAATGAAGGATGGGATGCAATCATCCCTCTTCAACCTGTAAGGACCAGAGGCAGTGTCAGCTGAAATACAGAAGTGCAAGCGGGAAGACACCCTCTGCGAGGACCCAGTCCCTGCAGTGGGCTGACACCACTAGATGTCCTCAGAATTCAGGTTACAGCTCAGGGTGATCAGGAGTCCCTGTTGCTTCGAAATCTGTTTGCTTAGCCTGAAGAAAAGACAGAATTACTTAAAGCAAACCTCCCGCTTCTCCCACAATATGCTTTCTGCTTGAAAATGGTGACAGGAGTCGGCTATTAGATCCCTGGTAGCCAAACTCACTCTTTGAAACGAAAGAACAATTTACTATGTAGACAGGAAACTCCTTACCTCAGCTTTCCACTCCTACCAAGCACATCTGACAGGTATTTGCATGCTTGAAACACATTCAGTGTAGTACAGCGTGGGAAAAAACTGTCTCTTTGCTGAGGAAAAATTCTTTGTGGTTTATCAGATGACTCAATTTTCATTATGCAATTCATTTTCTGTATCAAGAAGCTATAACCTGACAGCATTTAAATGTTTTTCAAGCCCAAAGATAAATGAAGTATCAGTTAATATAACTGAGTCTAAAACATGTTTACTGTGGGCAATGTGCAGAACAACAACAGTTGGCTACATTACCACAAACCACTTCTGAATATCCAAGCATGTTTTACACATGTAACTGAGCTACAGGCTGCAAAATCACATCTGGGTTAGTTTTAAACTCACAGCAATCTGGGCATATACAATCAGTGGGAAGCAAACTATTTAAATATAAATTCCAGTTTTGTGTAAGCACATGCAAATTTCATAACTATAAACAAATGGCAGGCACAAACATTAGTGTTTAACTTCAGAAATTACCTGAAAACTTGGTGTTATATAACAGACCGTTGAGTTCATGCAAGAACAAGCACATTTTTCTGAACTGAAGGTGAAATAATGAACTATAAACTGTAACTATTTCATGTATATATATGTTATACCACTTACAGTATTTTATATATTTCTAAAAATAGTTGGAACATTTGCAAAATAGAGCACTTTCAAACTGAGACTCATACTGTGCTTCCCTATAGGGAACCAGTACTACGATGTTTTTTTTACTTTTACAGATGTATCTTTTTGGTGTGAAGAACAGACAGATAAGAGAAGCTGTAAAAAAATTAAATTTGTCAATATAACAAAAGAGAGAGGTATCATCAAGAAAGAGATGTATTAGAGCACTCTGCAAGAAAAACAGGATAATTTTGGAAACTGAAGACCTAAAGAACCAAATTAATAGAAATAGGATTAAATTAATGCATTTAAACCCAAGTGTTTTTCCTTGGGAGAATTTGTTTTTTAAAAATGATTGTGAACCACTGCTGTAATGTGCCTGTGAAACAGAACAGGAGATATAGGAGAGGAATACGGACCTGTTAGTGCCACAGATTAAACTCTATGTACAATTATTGGGGAAAAAAAACCCACAGGTTAACCTATTCCAAACAAATTTAGAACAGAGATACAAAGTTGAGCAGGGGACACAGAGGCTGTCTCATGATGGTGATTTAAAGAATTGGCTTTTTACTCCATGCAAGGAGGGTTGTCTACTATAAACATAGCAGGAGATAAGCATCAAAGGAGGGAAATAAGAATGTGTAAAATCTAGCAAATGTTGGAACATGAATAGATGGTTATAATTAGCTCCAAAAATTGAGAAAAATGTTGCTATCACAGCAGTGAGTTTCTGGAGTAGTCTTTCAAACACAAAAATCCTGTTTAGTTTTCCCAGGTAGTCTGATCGCTTATGAAATATGACATAGGTGTTTGTGACAGCTGAGGACTGGATTTCGTGATCCAATATATGCTTTTCAGGCCAGTGTTTTAATTCAAGTTTCATACTTTGAATTATCAACAGTTAGAAAACTGTGCAGAATTATGAGATGGCTGGATGTCCTATTTTAAATTCAGGATTTAATGTAAAAATATTTCCTATTAAAGAATTAGCAGAACCTGTGTTTATTTGAACATTATGCTTAGAAGCATCCTAGAAAAGCTTCGTTCTGATACTTGTATTGCTTTCTGAAGGAATTCAAGCAGCAGAGCAGTGACCAGGCACATTAACCATATTCAATTTGTTCCAGTGCTTACATTTCCATGGTTGCCTGGTATTTGGTATTTGTGGTTCAAATATCATTTATAAGGCTTCTGGAAAGGTATCTTGTTTTTTAAAAATACTTGCTTTAATAGCAAAAATAATGTACACTTTGTCATAACTATATCAAGTGTGTCTCCCCTATGACTTGAAAATGTTTTAATTAAAGGCTAACTAGCATTACTGAAGATGCTGTGAGGGAATGCCTCACTTTTAGGACTGAATGCATTCTTTTATGAGGAACACAGTGGGCATTGATTTGCTAGAATTTCATGCAAAACCAAGGGTTGAGTAACTCATAATTAAAAGATCACATGCCTCCTTTTTGAAGGTTTTTTACATTCTGACATTATAGTTGAATTTCCCCCTTTTAACACATCTGTCACTATATGACAGCTGCAAATTGCACCCCAGAAAACAGTGCACCTTAATGGAAATTATTACTGGGGTTTTAGAATGCACAGAAGTGCTACATATTCCTGTAAAATAACCCTACTCTGCAATGAATAATATTATGAAATTGTAGGTTTGAAAGCTGTGTTTACCATCCTACTAGATGAAGCTGAAAGTTAAATATCAATACTGAAATCAGGTGCTGTGGAGCACAGTTGAGAGAAAAAAAGTCCTCGTCCTAACTGAGTTCTAGTTGTTACATTTTCTTTCTCTTCCTTGGTCATGCTGATAAATTTCTTGAGACTGACAGAGAAGTTTTTACACAGTTCTGCACAGATGGAAAGATTTTCTATCTGCAATGTTTTCAGGCTTGCAGAAAGGGGAACAACGCTACAGCACCCACTGGCAATGACATTATGTCCCTCACAAGCTTTGCTTGTGCTGCTAAAGAAATACAAAGCCAAAAGTACTTTAGCAGTCTGTACTGAACAAGATTCACATTCCCACTAGTTATGATGATAAACAATGTTCATCTTTCAGGCCTCAGGGAAGGCAGTTCAAGGAGTCTCAAAACAACACAGTTCATTACCATTTGAAAGGCTGAACTACAGCTGTATGAAACCAAGTAGAAAAAAAAAACACCAAACAACAGAATAAAGCAAGAATGTGAATCCAGAATTCTACTGGCCATACATTCAGCTATACGCTGGACATTGCATGAGTCTGCCTTCCCACGCCAAGATCTCAAATGTCAACACTGATATATGTCCCTAGCCAAGAACTGGGCATCTCTATCACTAGGTGTATTTGTGAATGATAGTGATGGGATTATACTGCAAATTAAAAGCTGTGGATGTGCAGTGTGTCCAGAGCTCTGCTCTCCTTCTCTGAACGACCCTTAATTGGAAGTCTCCGAATTCTGAATCCCTCAGGCACCCAGTACAGTCTTCATGGAGGTGTACAGGCTCCAGAGAAGATGGGGCGTTCAGACATGTCTCTGATCTGAATTTCTTATGACTGACTCCAGGTGGCTACTTTTAGCACAGAGGTTTTGTGGAGTGCTTTGTGAAGATGCTTCATTCCTACTGTTGGCTATGTAGGGGAACCTGGATATCCAGTTAATTTCTTGGGACCAACCACTTCATATTTCTGTGTTCCATAAACTGGAAGCCCCTACAAATACTTTTACATTTCACCTGAAAAGCCTATATAAGGGTTTCTAATATATGTTTTATAAATTTCTTTGTTAAACAAACCTTCCCCTAATGACCCCTTGTAGTCCTTCCTTTGATTAGCGGTCAACATGTGATGATGAACAGGAACAACTTCTCTCATCCATGGAAATGTGCTCCTCAGTCTGAAAGACTTAAGTAATTTTCGAAAAAGAAAAATTATGAAACCTCAGATTCTCAAAAATAGTTTAGACACTTATTTCTCCATTAAAGTATTTATGCACTTAACTCCTATTCATTTTACAGAACTGAGCCTGAAACTCTTTAAAATTCTTAACATCTGAACTGACAAGAAAAGCCAAGACAAAAAGAAGAAAGCACTATTATTATCCTTACTTTACAGATGGGGAACTGAGACAGAGAATGATCAAGTACTTTGCTCAGAGTCATACTAGAAATGTAACAAAAGCTAAAAACTGATCCTTTCCTAGTAGTTTTTTGTTTGTTTGTTTTTGCTTTTTTTTTTTTTCCTTTTCTGAATACCACTTCTACTGCCTTTGTTTTCGCAATAAAACACGATTTACCTAACAATAGCAATCTTCTTCTACCAGTCTCATGGCTTCTGAATATTCTGTTTTTTTCCCTGGTGGTCTGTACATTTAGCCATCATTTCAGGATTATTATTTTTACATCAGTATTTTACAGAAAAGAAAAGCAAAAGCTGTAAAGAGTAAAATTTTAGAGCTTGAAAGGTAAGAATTTACATTAGAACTAAAAAATTGTGCTTGAAATATGATGTTCATCTCTACCAACTACCAAGCCCAACTCCTCAGTCATTAGTTTGCTATTTAAGCTAAAATAATAATTTAAAATATTATTTATATATAGCATAATCATGAAATATAAAGTCCAGTTTCCTACCTAAAGGATTCATGTGCGCAAGGAAGATTCTTCTTCCTTTCTTTCATGAATGCCAGATCACTTGATACTCTGCAAGAGAAAAAACTCCAGGATTAGTATATTACTGGAATGATTTATTTTGTTATTTTATTCCTAAAACATAAAGAGCAAAAAAAAATATCACTCTTTGTATTAGCTCATTCAAATACTGACACTCTTAAGTTAATACATTTAAACAATGAGAGCAATAGCGACTACAGTAATATGCAGTGTTACTGTACACTCTTTTCTTTGTTTCAGTTAAAACACAAACATTTGTAGCAACTTATGATGCAGTTTAGATTTACCAGGAGACTCTGCTAGGCTATGTGAATAAAGGCTAATCATCATCTACATAAAAAAAAATGGGACAGGATCAGATAAAAATTGATGGAGTTGGGGGAGGAACCCTATCAGCCTCATCAGTGAAAATAAGGTGCAGGGAATCAGCTATGCCTGACTACCAAACCACAGTTAATCCACTGTCCCTTGTGTGGAACCCACCAGGTGGAACCAACCAAACTAACCCCCTTCCCCATATGCCTCACAGACTGAAGGAGGTATAGCACTCATTAAGGAATGCAGGGGGGAAAAAACCTGGGGAGGAAAGTAAGGGATCGAAGTGGACTGGGGAGAAACAAGCATGGGAAAATAAGGTGAAAAGGGCAATAAAGGGGTCAGATAAGTGTAACCTGGTGGCTAGTTTGACTGAGACATGTGCCTGACCACTATTATCTACCCTATATTCTCATTAAATCCTGTTTCTAACTGTCTTCTGCCTGGGTGATCTCTGTTCTGAGTGGGTACATTTGGATTCTAGTGAACTTTCAGCTGGATTAGCCAGTGAGGAGTGGGATTGCAAACCTCCGGGCTCATATGCAACTCCCCTGCAACTGGGGAGACCAGAGGATCTGGGGTCAGCTACTGGTTTGACTGAGCATCTAAGACCAGCTACTAGAGCAACCCATTTTTTTTTTTGTGCAAATATAAGCATGTACATGTAAATGTATATATTATGTCTTTGTTGATGAGCGTGGCCTCTGTGTGTGTTTACTGTGACCATGTGCACACCCACTGGGGGCAGCTGCTCAGCTTCACTACTTGCAAAACCTCAGGATATGGACCTAGAGCAGCCTCACATCTATGGGGGTACCTGATTCAGCTGTCTCTAACAGATTAATATTAAATGTTTTACCAAAAAAAGCCACTATGTTTAACTAACTATCCTTTGTCATCCCATCTGAACACACTATGCCATGAAGAAATAATTTAGATGAGCTTCAATGGGTAACTTATCTGCCAGAGCAAGAAAAAGCTATTTATACATTAAATTACTAACTTTGAAATTACTAACTTCATCATAATATTTCTTACTAAATCTCTCTCTAAACAATTTGAAACAAAATAAAATATTTTTACAACTAACATTAAGAGCTGTCTGTACTGCCTGGAGACCAGGTGGAAACCTGTATTACTCTGTTACCAGGGTATTCTTTTGTTTGGCTCCATTTCAGTAAAGCTAATGAGAACAATAAAAATGCCATGAAATTATTTTGCAGCTAGATATTATGCCATTACAGAGGATCAGATTTAATTGAGGGTGATAGACTCTTTATTTTTTATGTGCATATATAAAATGGCATAGATAACATGCAACAGAATGTGGCAGAAATAATGTTTGCAATGAAGTTACTCAACCATGACATAAGGTGAAATGTAGTTAAAAGATGGAGCTTAATAAGTGCTTCCTGGTTTAGAGAGGACGGAAATCTGATTGTCAGTGTCCACGCCGGGAAAACAGTTTGACTCAAGACTGGCTAAACAGAAAAATTCTCCCAAAATACAAGCTGCCCTGTAGATCTAGATCACTTCACAGAGACATTAAAAAAATTATGCAATTGTTCCACATTTAAAAGGAGTTCTAAGAGAAAATGTATGGTTATGATCACTACATAAAAATAAATTTTCCTCTATATTTTCTGATTCCTACTACTTGGTACTACATCAAAACACACTGTTGTATCCTACCAGCAAATTCTACTGTGCTTTCATGACTGCTTTCACCAGGAAGTGATATCATGAACTGGTGACACATCCCTACATAATATGACTGACACAAAAAGTGTTTTACACCAAAGCTGTAATAGGGCCATAGGCACTGGCTTGTTCATACTGGTGATTGGAAAGGATCATGACATGACTGACCTTACCTCCTGCATTAACCAGGACAACGACTCTCACCTGAGTATTTCTACATCAAACAACCATTATTCAAATCATATTTATTATGATAGTCCTGAGAACAAAGATATAATCCCACTGTTTTAGACACTGTACAAAGAAGAGTGTCTGCTCTTAAGAACTGAAAAGGTAAATAACCGATTAAAAATACAGAGTGGAAGGGATATATCAAGCAGGTCAAAACTTTAATATTTTTTGTTGAAAAATAATGATTATTTTAATTGTAAAATATTTTCAAAATATCCCATAAACTTGAAATTGCCTATGAAGAATCAGTTTTGGAAAATTCACTTCAGAATGTCATTTCAGAATGGCACAAATTCTTTTCCAAACACAGCCAATGCATGCAAATTTTCAAAATTCCAAATTAACAAGTATCAACATAAAGCATTTTGGTTTGAAATTTTCCAGTAGAATGTTTTCTGAAATTTAAGCAAATAATTGGAGTTTTATTTTAACTTCCCCCCCCCAATGAAAACATGTTGCGATGAAAACTTTCTGATCATTTTAATTACACACAGAATTTCAATGAGCAATGCAATGGCATGAACTGACTTGCTATTTTGACGTTTCTGGGGGAATATGCTGGTGTAGAAGTGAAGAAGTTTATTGCAGAAACTGAAATTTATGGGAAGCAAAGGAACGGGACTTTGAAAGTAGTAGAGGTAACACATAGAAACATATGACAGATTTATGGAGTGAATCTGAGGGAACGAGAGATTGTCACAGAAGGGACATTCAGGAATGACACAGAAAGTTAAAAGAACAAATTGTTGGCACTGGGTGGTAAAGGATCAGATAAAGTTGTGATTTTGAATGTATTCCAATATCCCCTTCAAGTTTCAAAGCTCCATCCACTGGATGCCATCCCCAAATAGCCTCTTCTCAGTGAACACAGGGGATGGGGTTGGGTGGAGAAGCATCTTCTGGATCGTAGTGCCTGCAAGGATCAGTAGGGCAATGGTGAAGAAAGCTGTGACCTTAGCTCTAGCACAGTTTATTCCTTCCCACTGAGACAGTCCATTTTGGCTGAGCCTCTGTCTGGAGTCTCTCCCCAAAGCTTTACGACTGTGGTAAGACTGTAACAGAAAGTACCTGGCTGCAGGGGAATAAATGTTCTTGTTTAACCACAAAAATGCTCAGTAATTAACAATATCAGTGGGAACAGAGAAGACTATTGGACCAATAATTGTTTTCTGTTTCAGTGTTCTCTTTTTCAGGAGTTCCTCAGTATGAGGTCGTAAAAGTAGCTGTTTCTTTGTCTTTTTCTGAGTACATGTTGTACATTTACACTTGCTTAAGTGACTGCAGAGTTACTCTGTAAAAGAACACAATTACCAAAAATTACTACTTCAATCAAATGGATATAAACACCCAATGTCCTATTATTTGTGAACATGAACATTTCTCAAATAAATTCTCCGAGCTTCCAACTTGTTGATAAAAGAGCTTTGTTGTTGCATGCTAAAGTCTACCACTTAATGCCATATACAGATTAAGTGGCAAACTGGTTAGCTAAAGGAATGAAACAATGTTATCCAGGTAATCTAAAACTGATTGTTTTCTTACAATTATTTGAAATAATTACTGACAATAATGGGAATAAAACAATATTAACCTTCAACCTTCACTTCCCAGAGCTTAAAATAATTAATCTTTTGCCATTCTAACCTAAAGCATTATACTTCCTTTAATACAGAAATATGTGGATATGCAGATAAGTATTTTTATCACACCTAGCTCTAAATTTGGTGGCATTTTGTAGACCTCCTCCAGTATCTAATTCCTGAGTAGACTACTGTGTTAATAATAATGTGTTAATAATGTGTTCATACGTTATGAACACATTATTTTCTACGGGTGTTTACACAGGTGGCATTAATCTCTAATATCAGTAAAAACCATACAGTTTTCTAATTAGGAGTTACTCATTAAAATGTTCAAACTACTCTGAACTATCTAGGTGCCAAACCAATAACAGTATCAATACTGCTTTATCACAACCCTGTTTAATTTCACATAGATGTTCATCTTCCTGCAAAAGTATCTTTATTTAATTACTGTTTTGAAGTGAAAGAATACTGAAGCTCCTAAAAGATGCAATATGCATTCTGCAGGAATTGAATTCAACCTTTGATAAGGAGTATGAATTTCCCTCCTAATTTCTTCACAATGAATACATACACTGAATGAAGTATAGCACTAACCTGCTCTACCCCCCATCTTCATCCCAGGCTGCTATTCCTTGGAGATTCTCAGTCATGGTGAATTGTGTTTTGGATTTTTTGTTTGTTTTGCAGTATAAGAAGATGACCCTGAGGTTGCAGACTGTGAGACTTTTATGTACTTGTTTACAGAATAAGGACTTACACTGCAGTCTCTGGAGGTTAAAGGTAAATTTATTAATGTATTCATTCATTAACCCATTCATTCATTAACTCACTCTGTTCCTTAGAAACTGCAAGGACAGTATTGTGTCTCCTACTCATGAATGAGTTGTTAACAGGTAATATTTGCATCCCTGACAGAGTAAATAAAAGGGGTCAAGAAACTACTCGAAGAAATTAGTTTTGCAAAGAGAGAAAAATCTTCATTGTGCAGCAAAGACAAACAAATGGCTTCACTAATAAAGATTAACTAAATATGGGATATTAGGTTTTGGACTATGGATACTGTTTAGTTTTAACAAACTAAGGACATAAGAATGCTCCTCCCTTACCTCTGCTGTAACACTGAGTATGTCCAGTTAGACATGAATGTTTCAGTTCGTCCTAGTCCTCTGTGGAGTTTGCACACTTGGTTAAATAATG